GTGACTTTGCGGGGGGCTGGCCTACATTGCGCAACGGCTTTGCTGTGGGTCTACCATTCGCGAGTTCGGCGTTCATCCACGCCACATATGCAAGATCCTCTGGCCGCCATAATTGTTCGTCTGCCTGGCTGAATACTTTACGCTTTCGGGCCATGTTGTTGGATGTACGGTGCTTTGCGTGCCAAGGAATGGGAGCTACCAATGTATAGAGAGCATGATGGCGAGTTGGGTGCTCTGTGTCATGTGTGTTTGGATGAGAGGCCTCGTGAAGTGCTTGACGTGCTGGGGGTGGTATACGTGTCGCGTGGCGCCAGGTGTGAAAATTCATTTCAAAGTTTGCATTCCGTACACGTTCGCGCGCACCGCACGACCGCCACATCGTCCAGCATGGCATGAATTGTTGACTGCTGCATACCCTGGCCTGACGTCTGTTCGTTAGAGGGAACCGTGTTCCGGGAAGTCATCACGTTCGCGCGACACCCTGCGACCATTTCTATTGGTTCGCTCAATCATTCCAAAACTTGATAACTGGCGTTTTATAACGTACACGATGTCATACTACATTCTTGATAGGAGGATTCCTGATAGGAGGTCGTAGGAATACGCCCTTAGTGCAATTCTCGCTACTTCGATTCATTGCACCCGTAACAGGAACACAACAGCTACTCGATGTCGCAAATATTTTTTTTTCCCCTCTGATGCATTCGTAATCTCTGCTGTCAAATATTCACATTTCATCATACGGTACATCCTCTATGAGGGCAAACAAGCTATGAGTGACAGTTCTTAATAACTGGAAGTCACCTTAGAATGGGATGTCATCATCATCCCCATTTTTATCCTCCTCAAAAATGTCGTAAGGGTTGCCTGTTCTTTGGACACCTCCATGAAACCCAGTAGCTCTGAAGTTCTTCAGTGTCAATGGAAGGGACTCGCTTGCTGGCACCACAATCTCAATCTCAAACGTCCCTTCTCCCTGCATGGCACAAGAACGACACTAGGCTTATAGTGAGACACTGAAAATGGAGTAACAGAAACAGCACCAGACGAGGGTTTAGTGCGGCGGGCACAGGAGTCACCCTCTTGCTCACTCAAACACAATAAAGTTTCTTCTGTACAACTCACCACAGGTATCTCTTTGATGCTTGCCAGTCTCCCCCTGTTTGGAATTGCAGGTTCGTCATACGCATCCAGGACAAACCCGAATACATCCGCGTTATAGACAGGCCGTCCTGATTTGTTCACTGTAGTGCCCATAATCAAAAAGCACTTGGCCTTGTATAGGGAAGATCCGGGCCCAACCGTGTAGGGGTTGGCACAAGGGCGGTAGGTCAGGTCTTTAAGAGCCACTGTAACCACCTTGAGTAGGCACAAGAGGGTAAGGGAGGGGTGGAGTGAGGGAGGAGGAGAAGGAGGTGGAGGTGAATTTGGAGGTGTAGCAACACTGTAATGCTTAACATGTATCACTGAGTAAAGAAGAACACTCACATGACATCATGCGCAGAAGGTGTAGAAAGAATTGTGAAGAAATTGGACGGAATTGCGAGGAGAAGAGAACGGGATAGGATGGAGACATAAAGAGCACAACGCAAGACGGTCTCTACTAGGGCTCTCGAGTTACAATAGCAGAAGCGGCTCCTAGGAAGCAGCTTAGGCATCACACGGTCATAAGGGCGTGTCACATCGCCAAACTCACAATTTTTGGGAAATCCGTCTGGCCGTTGTTGGCGAAGGTAACCACATAACGACGCTCGTCAAAATCCTGGCGACCGTCATTATTTGTATCTAAAATTTGCGAATTTGAGGGCCGTTTGAACGGGCCGAAACTAAACCGAACACCGTGTCGACTCCAATCCAGCCAACTAGTCGACAGGATCAGCGACCATCACCTGCGACGTCGCAGGGTATCGCACGGCCAATGAGAATCATCGCCGTCATATTTGCGACCTCATCGCACATCTCCGGCTACTGTAGCACGTGCAAATGTGACAACTTTGATACAACAGCCAGCAAATCGGCCATCAAAGTTGTCACATCTGCAAAACTGCAAATCGTGGTCGAAACTTTGTCGACCAATCCGTCGACTTTCGCGAAAGTAAATGACGACCATATGGTCGACGGAAATTCGGCCAAAAGCCATTTTCGCAAATGGTTGGCGATGTGACACGCCCTAATGGGACGTCGTTACAATGCGGCGAAGGGGTGACACGGTTCAGATTCGATATGGTTAGTATGCGGCGTCGGGATGGCATGGCTCAAATTTCAACTTACTGCGAGAGCTTCAGGCGGTTGAACCCAGGGCATCCCCGCTGTGACAACCGCGTTTGCGTGTCATTAGATGGAGGTGATTTTTTAGTTACTTCAAAAAATAACGTTCGATAATTGACGTACTGCGAGAGCTTCAGGCGGGTGAACCCAGGGCATCCCTGCTGTGACAACAGCGGCAGCGGCTATTGTAGCAGCTCCGAGAAGAACCGTTCGTCGGGAGTGGTTACCAGACGATTCCAGCGCGACGGTTGCATTCGTGGAAACCGTCTGCGACGACGCGCTACTGTCCGCCCGTTCCGCCTGAGATCGCACGGTGAGCACGGAGTGAGCATTTAGCTCGCGAAATTTCACGCAATGTGATGATGATGCCGCTACTTTGAGTCCGTGGCGACCGCCGGACATCCCACCGAGCCATGCTAAACTCGAAAGGGGCCGCGCAGTGGACGACAAGCTACTAGCGGCAGCCATTTCAGCGTGAAAGGCACGAGAAGCGTTGCTCCTTGATTTTGTAATGGAGCGGTAGAGGATGGAATGGGGTGAATTGAAAGGTGAGGTGAGGGATAGGGTTGACTGCTTCTGTGAGTGATGATAGGTTGGTGATTGTGAAATGGAGGGTGTGCACCTTGAAATGTAAATCAAACCTATCTGAGCCGCACAAAAATCTCACAAAAGCGCACTGTATGAAACGCCACGATAACATGAATCCAGCCCTTGGCCCGTTCCAAAGTTGGAACACTTTTCCACATGTACACCTCAAGAATCCACGTCAGAACGGATGTCGACTTCTGGTTCCTACGACAGAGGCCGTAAAAGCCCGACCAGTTGACAAAGAAGGAGACGCTAATGACGCGTATCATCTGTGAATTGGCCGCACCTTTTCTTTTTCTACAAGGTGAGATGACCTGGTCAGAGGAAAAACGCCCCCCTCACGCAAATAGCAATCGTGCCTACACAAGAACCAGCTGACTATGAGAGGGGAGAAAATATGGGCAAACAAAATAATTTTGGTATTTTTCTAACGCAATATAGAGAGTGTCCTTTGAAATGCTGTACAGACGGGCACAGCACGACCAGCACGAATCTGGGCGGAAATGTTTCGTCCGCGCCGCACCGCGCCAAACATTTTCCCCGAGACGCCACACTGCGTACATCCTCGGATCGTGGTAGCGAATTCATCCTGCAAATACTCCTCTCCTCTCCTTCCAACAAGGGGCAGCCTTTCAACGAGGTTGCCATTCGAAACAGAAATTTACCTCCAAATCGACAACGTGATGGTGGCGACGAGGTTAGGGCGTGTTACATTGTTTGAAGTCACTGAACGTCCGGACGGCTGTCCGGACGCGTCCGAAGATTGCGACGTCGCACGGTCGCTTTGCGACTAACTCGATGTCGTAAGGACGCAATACGAAAAATGCGACGTCGTTTAGTCCCTGACGAAGTCGCTGCCGAGATATGACGAGTCTCGTAACCACACAATCGTCCGGATGGCCAGCCGTCCGGACGAAAAAAATAAAACATGTAACACGCCCTTAAAAACGATGCGGATCGTTACAGTGACGCAGCATCCGACATTCCCAACGCCTGCTTACTGAACCGATCGGAACCGTGTTTAGCACCGCTATAACTCGTCACCATCACGAATTTCGATTCAGTGAAGGTCCATTCCCCTTCTGACCTCCGCAACGAGGATGTTTGGTATGTCACCAAACCGAACATCCTTGACAGAGCACCAGCTACACATCCGATGTTCTCCCTACCCATGTTCTGTTGCCTGCCTCCCCCCTTGTCCTCATCTTGCCCCATCCCGCACCGCAGAACGTCCACTCCACATCAAGCCAATACGAGACACATTGTGCCATTCCCCGGCACCACATATATCTCCCATGACCAGGATCTCCCCTGACAACGCTCCGCCTTCCACGGGCTCCGCCGAGTCGCGCACAGCAAGTGGCTCCTGCCTGCCCTTGTCCTGTTCTCACCCAGGCGGCCATACGCTACGCGCGCAGGTCTGCCGTGCTTAGTACATAAAGTTCCGGTCGATATGGAGTTCTAGTCGACTCGAGCGAGACTCAAGATGAGTTCTCGTGTCATCGTCTAGGCCATGATTGGCCATGCCGATGTACCTTTAGTGCTCATATAGCTTATTTCCTCTCGACGACCAAGCTGAAATAGTTTCTTCCTGCCACTATACTCAGGGTTATTTTCAGTGCCACCAGGTGGATTCTTGAGTGCGCGCGCTATTGATACCGCTCAAACCTCCTCTTTGTGTGGTAAATTGTCCACAGTCAATGCAGACGAGGACTCGCGTGAATAGAATTTGAAACGAACTTCGGTACTGACAAAAAAAAACACCAGAAGTGCTCAGTGCCAACTTGTGCGAGCTAGTACGTCATTCCTGCAAGCGAGATATTGAGTGGTGCTTTAGCCCTCTCGCGAGCTCCGATACTAGGGTGGAACTCGAGGTTTCTACGACAAGGTCTCCATAGTCGTGACATTATACGAGTTTACCTCATATCTACTCGTGACTTGCTCCGAGATCGCTCGGAGAACCTACGAAATCAGTCGTGTCAGTTCTAGTAGTGACCTGGTCCAAACAAGGTCGGATAACACAAGAGCTCAGTTCTACTAGTGGTGAATCCTCTTTCCAAGCACGGGCCACGCGCAAAACCTCGCCTTAGCTGATGTTATGAACCTGTGGCTTTAGAGTCGTCTCGAACGACAAATTGAACAGAATGCGGTTGACAAGTCGAGTCAACGCGTTGCTCATCATCATGTTGAGAGGGAGCAAGATGCTCGCGTTCATATCTCTTTTTCTCGTCGCCAGCTGCTCCACTCGCGCAGCTGTCGGTCAGAACGTCTCTGTCGCCACAATACATTCTCGGTCACCCGGTGATGCCGATTTGCTGACGTTCCAAGGCCGCCCCACCAGTCGCGCTCTGGCGGGCGGTGACGCATCGGCGGAAGGCGTTGGCGGAGCAGCACCGCGGCAGGCGCAGGTAGCGGGACGCGCGGGACCAGCATCCGCGGAGGTGGTGGGGAGTGCGGAGACTGAGGAAGGAGGGCCGGTGGCGTTTGGGGGGCGTCGGATTTCGTCGCTGACAGGCATCGCAACAGCAGGGAGTCAGATGAAGGGGCGGAGTCCCGCGGATGGGCTAACCCCGCGGGGCGTGCGCGGAACTACAGGGGCAGAGAAAGGCGCGCAAACGCGGAGGCGGGGTCGGGGCGCGGGGAAGCACAAACCGCACGCGAAGTCCAACAAACCGGGCAGCAAAACGGGCAAGAAAACGGGCAGAAAAACGGGCAGGAAGAGAGCTGCGGAGGATCCGCTTTTCCCGTGGGTGGGGAAGCCGAGACTGGTGACACTCGACGCAACGAAACGAGGCCGATGCTTGGACGGCAGGTAATTTACTGAGTAACTGAGGCTGGGATGTTGGGCTGAGGTGATTCACTCACTGACGGGGGCTGGGTTGTGGTTCCGTGACTGCTGGTCCGTGCCTCGGCTGCTTAGCTTCGAGCCGACGAGGCCGATGCGTGGGACGGCCAGTGAGTGGTGACTCACTGACAGAATGCTGGCGAGTTTTAAGACGACTCGAAACCCGATTGGTGGACTGCAGGTGAGTGGTGACTCACTGACAGAATGCTGGCCTTGGGTTGCGTCGCTTGGCTCACAAGGGTGGCGGCACTATAATCGATGATTGTCATGCCAAAAAGGAGATGCCGCAAGCTGCGCAATCTCCTCCCTCTCCAATTCTCTCGCCCTTCCGCGCTCCCCCGCTTTCTGCATTTGATGTTCGAAAGGGGGGAATGGCACGTGCCGCCGATTCGTCCCTTCCTTTCAACCCTCCTGCCGTGTCGCTATGCCTCCCTCTCTGTTTTTGAGTCGACTCAAGTTTTTTAGTTGGTTTTTGAGTCGACTCTAAAACGTCCTCCCCGTTCCGCCATGCCTCCCTCTCTGCTCTGGATATGTTTCTATCCCAGTCAAATTGTTAATCAACATAGCCTAGTTTTGAGGCGCCAAAAAAACGACGTCTCTAACCGCCATTCTTTCCATTTCCTTGACTTACGCATCACTACGCATCTCTTTCCCCCCTTTTCCTTGTCTGCTCCCCAACGTTCTTGCGATCCGCGTTATTACAGCTCCCCCGCTTTTATCATCCGATACGGCTGCGGTCGTACCCATCCCTCTCCCTTTCTCCTTGTCTCCTCTGGTGCCCTGCACCTCTCCCCAACGTTCTTGCGATCCGCGTTATTGCAGCTCTCCCGCTTTTGTCATCCGAAACGGCTACGGTACAGGATTGAACAAGTGGATATTTTATCTCGAGGTAAGCAGCACAGTAGAATGTCAATCTGTACATTTGGAAAACATTTCGCGTCGTATGAACTCTGGCGAATGTTCTTGTGCTGGATTGTGCGGGATCCATCAAGCTTCATCCTTATTTAAATCCCACCCGTTTGTGTCCCACTCGTTTGTGTCCCAGGGCGGAGGCTGGTGCTTCAGTATCAAGCAGTGCGCCGTTCGGTCCAAGACTATGCTCGGGTCCTCCCGTTACTACAACCAATCGGTACAATCACTCTCCTTCAGACCCCTCTGGTACCATCTCTCGCGTCACCCGTTCGCTCCCTCCCCCTCCGGATTTCCTCCTCTCTCTTCCCATTCCCTCCCTCTCTCTCTCCCCCCATTCCGTCCCTCTCTCCATCCCCATTCCCTCTCTCTCCCTCTCCCCATTCCCTCCCTCCCTCCCTCCCCATTCCCTTTCCCTCCCTCTCCCCATTCCCCCCCTCCCTCCAGCCCCCCATTCCCTCCCTCTCCCTCTCCCCATTTCCTCCTCGTCTCCCTCCCCATTTCTCCCCTTCTTTCTCTCCTCATTCGCTCCATCTCTCCCTTCCCATCACCTCTCTCTCTTCCTCCCTCCCTCCCCATACCCTCCCTCTCTCCCTCCCATTCCCTCCAGCTCTCCCTCCCCATCTCCTCTCTCCCTCCCCATTCCTCCAGCTCTCCCTCCCCATCTCCTCTCTCCCTCCCCATCTCCTCTCTCCCTCCCCATTCCTCCAGCTCTCCCTCCCCATCTCCTCTCTCCCTACCCATCTCTTCTCTCCCTCCCCATTCCTCCCGCTCTCCCTTCCCATCTCCTCTCTCCCTACCCATCTCATCTCTTCCTCCCCATTCCCTCCCGCTCTCCCTACCCATTTCATCTCTCCCTCCCCATTCCTCCCGCTCTCCCTCCCCATTTCCCCTCATGTCCCAGTGTCTCAACCACCTTTCACTCCCTACACAGCTTTCCGTTCCCCTCCCTTCCTCGCTAGTTCCCTCATTTTTCCCAGTCCCAACCCTCCAATATCCTCCCCACAAGGCTTCCCGTCCCATCACTTCCCCCTCTTTTCCATCTCATGCCCGAATTTCCACTGATCGGTCTTGCTCTCAGCTTCGCACATCACTTTTCAGAATTCACAAAAGTGACTCTGAAGTAGCGTATGTTTCTTTAGAACTCTCAAAAAAATCACAAAAGTGACACTGATATATCATGCTCTCAGCTTTCCCGCATCGTTTTTGTTCCCTCTTCTTTTCTTTCAGCCTCCTCTTGAGAAGAGGATGTAGAGTACTCTTGTATCGCGCCACCTTTTAGCGCGTGCTAGGCTGTACCACAAAGCTGTCTTACGAGATTTTTCTATCCTCCCTCACCGCCCCAATCAATCTGCCTCCTCCCCTTTTCGCGCCTCGATGTTCAATCCCTCAGATAGACATTGACTTGGGCGGAATCGCGAGTAGCGACATCAAGGTAACATAACAGCCTGTTTGGTTAGTACGGTACGCTTAAGGTTAAAAACGGTATAGACAAACACAGACATACGTGAGCAGGTAGACACTGATATGGGTGTTATCACAACTAATGAACTTCACCAACTCAACACTACGTAGGTACAGCATCAGTAGCAATCTGGATATGTGATGGTAACATAAAGTGTTGAAAGTTGTCAATTGCCATTGTTATAACTGCAAGAGCTGGAACTTTTGCTAAGTATCACCGTTAACTAGAACTATTCCCATTTGACCTTATCATGCGTCAACTCCTCTGTTTTTATTACCTGCAGGTCAACCCAGGTTTCCACAACTGGAACTTTGTCATTTTCAAATACTGCGATGGTGCTGCTTTCGCTGGTAGCCGCGGCGCCGTGCAATCGCGTAACGCCAACAGCAACAAGCCACCAGTCTACATGGAAGGGCGGTGGAACCTTATAGGGATAGTGGAGGAGCTTTTAGCGAAGCAAAGGCTGGGACAGGCTACAGACGTGCTGCTGACCGGCTGTAGCGCGGGGGGGCAAGGGGTCAGCATGGTGTGTGATGGTGTTGCCAAATGGATGGCTCAGTACGGAGCCAAAACCCGGTGTCTCATGGACGCTGGATTCTTCATGGGTAAGGATGGATTGCATTCGGTTCCACTAGGTTATAAGGTGGGCTTGTAAAGTGGGTGTGTGATTGTAAGGGAGGGGATTGTACGACTTCCGCCGTCCCCCCAGTCTCTCCCTCACATGTGTTTTTCCCATCCTTGTGCCCCTTCTCCCCCTTCTCGCCTCACCTCACCTCCCTACTCCAGACATCCCCACCGTACGTGGCGGGTACGCGTTTCGCCGTCGGATGAGCCAGCTGGCGTCGACGGCAAATCTCGCGCAATCCAGCTACGACGTGGGCTGCGCTGCTGGTGCGTGTGATATGTGTAATAATATGGCGTGTTTGTGACTGTACGTGTGTGACTGTATGTGTGCGTCTGTACGTGTGTGGTTGCGCCAGCTGGCATCAACAGCAAATCTTGCACGATCCAGCTATGACCAGGGCTGCGCTGCTGGTGAGTGAGAGAGTATGCAGGTGTGATTGTATTATATGTTACTGTATGGGTCAGAGGAATGGGGTAGCTGGCATCGACAGCAGATCTGCAATCCAGCTGTGACCAGGGCTGCGCTGCTGGTGAGTGAGAGAGTATGTGAGAGTGACTGTATGCGTGTGTGATTGTTTGAGTGTGATATGGATAGGTGCCGGTGCCCGTGTGACTCACAGAGGATCCAGCTATGGCCAGGGTTGCTGGTGAGGGACAGAACATGTGGGTGTGATATAATTATGTGTGATAGTATGATGTGTGATAGTATGATGTGTGGCACCCTTGATTTTTCTTGTTATACCCTTGCTTTGCATTTCTCCAACCCCCTTCCTCTTCCACCCTCCCCATCCCTCTCTCCTGTCCCCTTTATTAACAGCTTTCAGAGGAACAAAGCAGTCATGGAAGTGTACCTTCCCCGAGTACAACCTGCATTTTGTCAGCACTCCTACATTCATCCTCAATAGCAACATCGACTACAAGGCTATAGCGATGACTCTTGTCGGGACAAGTAAACCCATTACACACCCGCTCATGCACTGCTACTATTCTGCGGGATTAAACGAGTGTACTCCGGAACAACGAAGCGAAATCGGCAGTTACGCAACCCGGGTTATGACTACAGTGCGGACCGTGGTGGACAATGCGAAGCGACGAGGAGCGGCATTTACTTCGTTTGTTTATCAAACAAAATCGCATTGTATGCTGGGGGATCCTGGGTGGCAAAGTGTAGTTTCGCCCCAGTGGCCTGGTAAGAACCTGCCTTGGGCTATTAGCGAGTGGTACTATGGTGCAGCTGTTGCTGCGCGCCTGCACAGGCGTAGATAGTAAGGTGTAGTGTTTTCATCCAGCTGTTTTGTCTGATTTGTGATAGTATTTGTACTATATATTCTTATTGTTTTGTTTCGGCATTTCACCTTGAGAGCAGTGAATTTGTTGGTCAAGTCAAGAGTCAGGTCACACAGGCACACACATGCAACCACATGCAACCACATGCGTACCCATGCATGCACTCACGCACACAAACTTCTAATGTAGAAGTTCACAAGGATACCACACTCTCGTAGACACTCAAACGAGCCATTACCGTACATTGGAGATATACAGATGTAACACCGTTTCACTGCTGCCTGGTGCTACTACAACATGACTGATACTGTACTTCTAAGCTTTAAAAAACATACAGAGCAACCACATTAGACATCAGTATAGATGTTACGCTGCTTCTTGGTGCCAGAACACATGACCATAACCTATAGAACTCCAAACCTGTTAAGAGCAATCACATTAGAGATCAGTACAGATGTTACACTGCTTCCCGGTGCTACAACCAGCAGGGATGGAGGCACAGCTTCATGGTTTTCTGACAAAACACGGCTCCCTGACTCTGTATAAGTCGTCCTGTACACCTCAAAAGAAGTCGGGAGAGCCTCGTTGTACACTCCAAACGAGGATATAGAAACAGTAACGTTGTAATCTGCCAAGTCTTGATTCACGATGAATACTGACAGTAGGTGCTGCCCAGGATGGAAAAAGGCAGCTATGGAATGATGACACCCCTCCGATGAGTCGATTTTCAAGGGGAAACTCCCCTTGGGTGCCCCTCGAATAAATTGCCATAACATGTAGTATTTTTTCGAAAACGTAACTTGTAACGGAGGAGCGGAGGAGTCGTGGATTCGGTTGTATGGGATAACAAAGAGGCCCCAATTGAGTGCAGATGGGTCCTTCTGATCCTCCTTATTGACTGCTTGCCAGAAAATCCAAGCTGAAGCTCCCAGAATATTCACCGACTGAATAATACACCTCGCGATGAATGCGGTTACCGCCATGTCGTCGCCGGTTACAAAGAGAGGGCCCATTTCCGACACCCACACCTCCTTCCCCAGGGCCTCTGCTTGTTCCCGCAAGGGACCGAACTTGCCTTCGATATAATCACGTGCGTTTGTGCCGTTTTCCGGGGGAGACACGTACCCATGCACATTGATTCGGGTCAGTGAGGATTTGACTAACGGCGAAAACTCCTCCCAGTTTTGAAAGGTGCGCCCAGCAAAACTATCGAAACCAGCGACTCCTGTCCGGTCGAACAACCGTCTCCTTTTAAGCGTCCCCACCACATGCGCTATAAGCATATTGAGCTCCGTGCCGTTAAAGTTACACCCCTCCTGCCGGTTACCGCGCACCCACCACCCCTCTAGCGCCTCATTGGCCGGATTCAGCGTCGAGAAAGTCACATTCCACTCCTCCCGGAAATGTGCGACCACATCCGCTAAATACCCCGCGTACGCTAAGTAATACCCTCTTTTTAAGTTACTCTTACCGGTACTTAGCCCCGCAGTGTCCCCACTGACAGTCATCCACCAAGGGGGAGAGTACGCCACTGCCTCTACCTCCTCCACTCCCCGATCGATCGCTCCAGCCAATACCTTCCGCTGCCGCCAATCCGCCGACCAGTCGTATGGCCCGGACACGGTTACGCAGTAACCAGGAATCGCCATGGCTTCGCAGGCTTCTGTTAGGAACTGGGGGCTGAGGAGGGGGTTGAAGCTGCCCCCGATAAGGTATCGGGCGAGGTTCAACCCAAGGCCGATAGAGGGATGGAAGAGCAGGTCGAGGAGGAACTTGAGCTGGTGTGCTGGGAGCTTGCCAATGTAGTTTGCGAACCTGGGGGGTTGAATGCGGTGGAGAGGGGTGGAAAGAGGCAGAGAGGAGGTTGGATGCGGTGAGTGGGGATGGACAACCAGGTGGTACTACAAGGTTCAAGCCGAGGCCGATGGAGGGACGGAAGAGCAGGTCGAGGAGGAACTTGAGCTGGTGTGCTGGGAGCTTGCCTATGTAGTTTGCGAACCTGGGGGATTGGGGGGGGGGGGGGGGGGGGTTGAATGCGGTGAATGGGGATAGACAGTGGTGCGGACAACCAAGAGGGATTTAGGGGTGAACCCAAGGCTGGTGGGGGGATGAAACTGGGCTGGTCTGATGGGAACTAGCCGAAGAGGTCTGCGGAAGCGGGAGACAACTTTTGAGGCGCCTCAAAAAAGGATTTAGGGGTGAACCCAAGGCTGGTGGGGGGATGAAACTGGGCTGGTCTGATGGGAACTAGCCGAAGTGGTCTGCGGAAGTGGGAGACTGGGGGGTGGGGGAAAAGAAAGGAAAGGGTGGAGGTAATGTAGGAGGATGGGGAAGAAGTTCTTGAGGCGCCTCAAAAAACAACCTCAATGCACAAGGAAAGGAAAGGAAAGGAAAGGAAAGGGTGGAGGTAATGTGGGAGGATGGGGAGGAAGGGGGGAGAAGGGGACAGAATACAGAGAGGAGGGAAGGGGACAAGCAAAAGAGAAGAGGGAAGGGGGCAAAAGACAGTGGATGGAAAAAAAAAAGCTCATCTAGGCAGTTGGCAAACCTGGGGGTTACTTGAGAGGGAGAGTGTCTTTGCACATGTTTGTACTTGAGAGGGAGAGTGTCTTTGCACATGTCTGTACTTGAGAGGGAGAGTGTCTTTGCACATGTCTGTACTTGAGAGGGAGAGTGTCTTTGCACATGTCTGTACTTGAGAGGGAGAGTGTCTTTGCACATGTCTGTACTTGAGAGGGAGAGTGTCTTTGCACATGTCTGTACTTGAGAGGGAGAGTGTCTTTGCACATGTCTGTACTTGAGAGGGAGTGTGTCTTTGCACATGTCTGTACTTGAGAGGGAGAGTGTCTTTGCACATGTCTGTACTTGAGAGGGAGAGTGTCCTTGCACATGTCTGTACCTTGCTCGGATCTAATGCACGGACCGCTTGAGTTGAGAGTGTAACGCAACAAACCAAACTCCCAACCACCCATTTCTCCCAACATCTCCCCGCCCCCCACCCCCCTTTGGAATCACACAAACAAAACCCCTCCACCGCTCATCACCATACCAAACCCATCCTAGGTTCGCACCATCCCAACGAAGTGCCCCATCCTCTCCATGTCTGCCCCGTGCGTGCAGGGGTGATGCGCACTTGAGCATGCCCTGGGATCGCAGAAAAGAAGGGATAAAATGGGGTGCAGTGCGGTGGGATGCGGTTGAGAACGATTTATGCACTCATCGGTGCCCCCTCCTCTCCATGTCGCAGGGGTGATGCGCACTTGAGCATGACCTGGGATCGCAGAAAAGAAGGGATAAAATGGGGTGCAGTGCGGTGGGATGCGGTTGAGAACGATTTATGCACTCATCGGTCCCCCCTCCTCTCCATGTCTGCCCCATGCGTGCAGGGGTGATGCGCACTTGAGCATGACCTGCGATCGCAGAAAGGACGGGATAAAATGGGGTGCAATGCGGTGCGATGGGATGAGGAGCAAACAGCATGAGAGTGGCACGAGGAACAGAAAGACATGGCGTGGGATGGGGAGAGATGGGGTGTGATGGAAAGGGTTTGGGTACGGAACGATCACTCCTTAACAGAAAGTCTTGAGACCCTGCAAGCTCAATAATTTTGCATGAAACTCTGAAAAGTAAGACTGAAAAGACTAAAAGATGTCTGGAAGAATTCGAAATTGGTTTCCAAACGACTCAGGAGGACCCACGCGCTTACTCTGAAGCAGTCTACTCTCCTGCTGGTGTGCGGACAGCGAGAGTATAAATCTGATGATTAGATGATTCAAACCCAGCTATTAGTCTGAAGCGGCACCCTTACCTGCGGGCGTGAAGACTGTGAGTATCTAAATCTTGCTATTAGATGATCAATACACAGCTCTTTAGTGTCTGAAGCGGCACCCCCACCTGCTGGCGTGCAGACTGTGAGAATCTCGGTCTTGGGACGAAGCCCTCCAGTGTCTTTTTCGCCAATTTTATCCTCACTATTGTCATCCTCGCCGTTATCATCCTCGCCATTGTCATCCTCGCTACTGTCATCCTCGCCATTGTCACCCTCGCCATTGCCAACTTCGTCATTGTCATCCTCGGCCATTTTCACAATAAGCCTCTGTTTCTCCTCCCGCCTTTCACGGGCAGCCATGTCCGGAATCACTCTTCCCCACCCTCCCCTCTTCCCTTCCACTCCCCAAATCTCTCCGCTTCTCGTCGCGTCTGCTTCGGTTGGAGTCTTCTGGAGTTTCTCCTGAGTTTTGGATATCTGTTCACGCTCCTTGGGAGAGTCGGAAGCGTAACCTTCCCGAGGCAAGAAGGAGATTTGATTCTGTTTTTCGTCCACATCGCTCCGGAATTCGCCGAGGTCGTGGGTAGCAGCCGCGGCGGCGCACACGCCTAGTGGAGGAAAACGTGCGACGGCGAGGGCAAGCAGAAGGAGGAGAGTCGTCGCCTGGCGACCTTGTGCGACGAAAGGAGCCATTTGGCTACTGCGTGGAGGAGTGACAACTCCGCGTTGAGGAGTGAAAGCCCTACATACGGGAGTGAAAATCCATTTATCTCGCTTCCTTCCTTCATCAGACGTGATATGTTTCAAGTTGGTGATGATTCGTGCTACCACAGTCACCACCACCACAGTCACACCATCCATCCCCCCTCGAAGTCCCCATGCATAGATCAAGTGAACCGACGTCGAGGACCCATTTGCGATACTTCGTGTCCCTGCTAGCACGATGAAAGGAGTGTGACCCCGATGCGAAACTTTTAGGAGCTGAAGCACCGAGCGACGTGCATTTCACAAACCCCGTAGTGGCACATTCAAAGGTGTTACGCAGTTGGGTGCAAATCGGCGGTTTATTAGCTTCTTTACTACCCCGTAGTGGCACATTCAAAGGTATTAGCTTCTTGCATGTTTTAAAGTGGTTTTGGAAGGTGCTGCTTTAGACTGCAATGCACGAAACAGAACACTCTAGCGATTCAATCCAGCACAACTGTCCTGCAAATACAAACTTTGAAATCAGGGCGGACTCCAAGGCTTCGGATGTGTAAGCCTTGGTATCCGACCGACTGTTACGGGCGCAATGAATCGAAGTAGCGAGAATTGCACTAAGGTGTCAAACGAGTACAAAATGTGAGCGAAGGCATGAGCGAACATTTATACGCGAAACATGCGAAACGGTAACGCGGTGCGTGCGAGCTTGCTAGTGCTACGCTGGAGCGAGGCTCGGGCTAGTCCCGAAGCGTAGGCCGATACGGCCATGCCAGCAGTGCGAGGTTTGGCAAAACAGTGCGCGCGAAGTCGGCGAAGTTCCGTTAGCAGTAACGGGCGAACAATAGGCTGTTGCTGTACGCGATGTAGTCGGCCCCGTAAGGAATGCCGAGAAAATTCCTTACACTACCCCCCCCCCCCTTAAGAAGCCCCCTCCGCTACGCGAGTGCGTGTATATCGCGGAATCCCCGGCTCCTCAGGTACACTTGCAGGGCAGAGTGGTTTTCGATGTTGGGCAGGGGCACCCAGCTGTCTTCAGTTGGCGTGCGGTCCTTCCAGCGAACGAGGAATTCAATCCTCCTGATTCCCGTGGGGTGGCGGATCCGATGGCTTAGGATTTTTTCGGGCTCGATGATCGGCTCTGATGCAGGGCGAGTCATTGATTGTGGGCGGTGACGCGGCAGTTGACTTGTGGTCGGGATGTATGGGCGAAGTAGGCTGACGTGGAACGAAGGGCTGATGTACCAGTCGGTTGGCAACAGTAGGTGTGCGGTGATGGGTGTGATCATGTGACTGATTTGGAATGGTCCACAGTAGCGCGGTCGTAATTTCGGTACGTCGGGCAGTCGCAGATTTTGCGTGTCGAGCAGCACGTAATCTCCAGATTGGTACGTGACAGGGCGGCGGTGGCGATCAGCGTTGCGCTTAGCGATGACGTTGGCCTTTTTTATTGCTTCGGCGGCTCTGGCGCGGGCAGCTTGCAGGACTTCGGCGAATTGTTGTGCACGTGGCGTTGGGTTGTCCGGACTCGGCGTCATGGGCACTGTGGGGTTTTGCCCATAGTTCAGGTAGAACGGGGACTGCTGCGTCGTGGCTGATGTGGCGTTGTTGTACGCGAACTCGATCAGCGGCAGCTGCTGCTCCCAGGTCGTGGGGTCGTCGCACGTGGCACGAATCAACTGCTCCATCGTCTGATTCGTCCGCTCCGTTTGGCCGTCGGTCTCGGGGTGGTACGACGAACTGAACTGTAGCCTGGTCCCGAACTGCTCCCAGAGGTTCTTCCAGAAGTTGCTGGTAAACTTCGTGTCCCTGTCGCTGATAATTGCTGCTGGTATCCCGTGCAGGCGAACAACGGCTGCGATGAACAGGCGAGCGGTCTCCTCGGCTGAGATCGACTTTTTGCACGCAGCGAAGTGTGCCATCTTCGTCAGCCTATTCACGACGACCATCACCGCGTCGTTACCCCCAGGGTTCGAAGGTAACCCTGTGACGAAGTCCATGGTTACTTGCTGCCAGGCGCGTTCGGGCGGTGGGATCGGCTGCAATTGACCCGCCTTCCGCTTCCTTGAACTCTTTATCACCTGACACGTAGGGCACGAGCCCACGTGCTGCTGTACGTCGGTCAACAGCTCCGGCCAGTAATAGTACCGCTGCAGTTGCTGTCGTGTTTTTTCTACCCCGAAATGTCCCGAGGTAATCCCGTCGTGTGCCTCCTGCAGCAGCAGCTCCCTCAGTATTGAGTACGCGGGTACCCAAATGCGGTTGGTGCCTGTTTTTACATAATAGACTCCTTTTGCTTCTGCCAGTTGCTGTGAATTTCCGGTCGTGAAAAATGGGTCGGTGCGGTATCCGTGGGTGAATAGGCCAGTTAAAAGTGGGTTGGTCTGGGCGAGTAGGATGGCGTGGAGTTGGGCGGTGGGGCGGGTGAGAGCGTCGGCGATGTTGGATGCTCCTTTTTTGTACGTGACGGTGTAGTGAAAATTGGACTCAAGATAGTCCAACCAGCGAATCTGTCGTGGGTTGAGATTCGGTTGGGCGCGAAGGTACTGTAGTGAACGGTGGTCTGTCCGTACTGTCACGTCGGCGCCAGTCAGGTAACACCGCCAAACTTTGAACGCGTGCACGATCGCCAGCATTTCACGGTCGTGTATCGGGTAGTTGCGTTCGGGCGGGTGTAGTTTGCGGGACTCGTACGCGATTGGCTGGAGGCCATTCCCGAAGTCCTGCAACAGTACTGCTCCCACAGCGATGTCACTTGCGTCAGTGACGAGCTCGAACGGACGGTGTGGATCTGCGATGTGAAGCACGGGCGGTGAGCACAAAATGTTTTTGAGAGCCGAGAAGGCAGCTTGCTCTTTCTCCCCCCACGTGTACTCAACCCCCTTCCTCAGCAGGTCGGTCAACGGGGCAGTCAGCTTCGCCATGTCGGGGACGAACCGGCGCACGTAGTTGACGAACCCCAGGAAACTCTGCAACTCGGTCAAGTTGGTCGGCGCGTGCCAAGCCTGAATCGTCGCAATTTTCTTCGGGTCTATTTCCACTCCTGCAGCTGAAATAACATGTCCCAAAAACTCCAGGCGGTCCTGTAAAAACTCACACTTAGATGCTTTGGTCAGTAGGCGGTTCTCACTCAGGATTTTAAAAACTGCTTCGATGTCTTGTAAGTGCTGTGCTCTGTCAGGGCTGTAAATCAGTATGTCGTCCAGATAAACGATGACGCACTTATCTAAAAGTGGGCGGAATGCTTCGTTCATGGTCATTTGGAAAGTGGCGGGGGCGTTGGTCAGTCCGAATGGCATGACAGTGTATTCGAAGGATCCGTAGCGTGTTCGGAATGCGGTTTTAGGGCAGTCGGGTGGGTTGACGCGGATTTGGTGGTAGCCTCCTCGGAGGTCGATTTTCGAGAAAACCCGGGCTGTGCGCAGTTGGTCAATCAGTTCGTCGGCTCGTGGGATGGGGTAACGGGATTTGATGGTAACCCTGTTCAGTGCCCTGTAGTCGATGCACATGCGAAAACCCCCGTCCTTTTTCGGTGTGAACAGTATTGGTGCGGCGAAGGGCGACGAGCTAGGGCGAATGAATTCTTTCTCGAGCAGGTAATCGAGCTGCTTCCTTAGTTCGTCTAGTTCGGGTTGGGTCAGTCTGAACTGTCGCTGTACTGTTGGCTGTGCCCCCGGTTCCAGTTCTATCCTGTGGTCGTGCGGTCGCTGAGGTGGCAGTCCCGTCGGTAAGTCATCCGGGAAAATGTCACTGTATCGTGTTAACAGTGCTGCCAGATCACTCGGTACGTCGGTCAGCAGTTTCAGTAAATCCCCTCCCTTGTCTGCTGCCTCGGCTTCCCGAATGTCAACCGCGTACACGTCAGCTCCGGCCGCTACAGCGCGTTTCATCGTGATCGCATTGATACGCACCGACGAAGACCCAGGCGAGCCCCAGCGAGGTAAGGCGATGTTGTTACCGTTCACTCGCACGGTGCAGTCACCCGTCGTCCAGTCAATTCGCGGATTGTGTCGTCGCAGCCAATCACGCCCGAGTAAAATGTCGGTTCCGTCGAGGGTCGTTGCGAGCATTTCCTGGCTAAACGTGAAGTTACCCCCGCATCGAATCCGAACTCGGTCTACGCGTTCCCGTATTGCCAGCGGCGTGCCGTCTACCAGTCGTGCGTCGATCTCAGGTAAGCATCTGTCCAGTGGCAGTCGCAGTTTCCGTGCTGTAGCAGTGTTAATGAGGCTGTGGCTGGCTCCCCCGTCTACGAAGATTTTAACTAAGTCCGTCCCAATTTTCCCACTGAGCAGTATAGGGCTGTCTACCGTGGTACCCTCCTTATTCGGCCGGGTGTGGTCGATTGCGTGAACCGGCACAATCACTCGGTGAGGGTCGGTTGGGTCGGGCGAGCGGCGTGACCTGTCAGTAGGGGGCCCGTCTGCTACTGACTTCCAGCGTTTCCCTGCTGCTTGGTCTGTGTCTGCTGCTCAGCTTCCCCCTTTCCCTTAGCGTTTTCCGGGCATTCGCTCTTGCGATGTCCCGGCCGATTGCACGCAAAGCAGCGCCCTTTGAACGGTGCGGCAGCGGCATTTGCGGCGACGGCGCGTATCGTGGCGCTTTCGTTCGTCCCACGAGGCCGATGTCCCCAGTTGTTGTTTCCGTAGGACCCCGGTCTCGGTCGGCGAAAGAAGTCGAGCTTCTCCGCCATAGCGAGAATTTCCTGAAATTCGGTGACGCCGCGAAGCTGGATTTCCTGAGCGATGTCCTGCTTCAGGCCGCCGATGTAGCGGTCGATGCGCTCGCTCTCATGCATGTAGCCCACCTGTTCACATAGCGCCAGAAATCCGCTCGTGTAGTCCTGGACGGAACCGAGTTGGCGCCAAGTGCGGAGCTTCTGTCGCGCCGCGATCGAAGCCGCAATTGGCTCAAATCGAGCGCGCAAACCTGCGCACCACGCGTCCCACGTGCGATACTGGGGCACCTCCACGAAATACGACGGCGCCCAGGGTCCGGTTTGTCCTTCCCGTGTCGGTAGTGTGGCGTAGTCTGTCGGCTTCGTGACGATAACGCGCCACCAGTCCATGGCGGGTCCTCGCAGCAGCGACACGGCGTATCGAATCTTCGCCGAGTCCTCCGAGACGTAGTTGGCGTCGAAGAAGACATTCATTGTGAACAACCACGCCTGAACGGTAGGACCACCCCGTTGACTCGGGTCAAAACATGGCGGGCGCTGCGGCTTCAGCGGCATCGGTGACGGCAGTCCCGAATCGTGGGTTGGTGCCGAAATCGTGACGCGAGGCTGACTTGGGGCCGCATGCGTCGCTCTGGGGTGTGTCGTGCCGTGGTCGTCGTCTCCGTCGGGGAGGACGATGCCATCACTGGCCGCGCTCGCGGGTTGCCCCACACTCCCGTGTTGTGATGTTGAGGGTGCAGGTTGAATCTGAGTGTCAGGTGCTTGAGATTGTGCTTGTTGTGCCCTCATGAGGTCATTTTGCAGCGATGAGCGTTCTGCCGTTAATGCCGCGATTTCCTCGGAGCTTTCGTGCAGCTGTCGCAGCAGATCGTTCAAACGCTCCTGCGTGAGGGTGGTGACGTCGATATTTTCAGCCATGACGAAGGGCGTCGGCTCGTCTTAGTCTAGGCGCAGTCGTGGCTGCACGCGTTTACGAGAGAACGCGAGGACAGCGGCTCCTAGGGGCTAAGGTGCGCGAGTCCCTTCGAGTGAAAAATCAAAAGTTGATTTCCTGGTGTGCGGAGATGCGCGGTCCGAAAGAAAGGGGCTCTGATACCAAGTGTTACGGGTGCAATGAATCGAAGTAGCGAGAATTGCACTAAGGTGTCAAACGAGTACAAAATGTGAGCGAAGGCATGAGCGAACATTTATACGCGAAACATGCAAAACGGTAACGCGGTGCGTGCGAGCTTGCTAGTGCTACGCTGGAGCGAGGCTCGGGCTAGTCCCGAAGCGTAGGCCGATACGGCCATGCCAGCAGTGCGAGGTTTAGCAAAACAGTGCGCGCGAAGTCGGCGAAGTTCCGTTAGCAGTAACGGGCGAACAATCGGCTGTTGCTGTACGCGATGTAGTCGGCCCCGTAAGGAATGCCGAGAAAATTCCTTACACCGACCAGCCCATTACACCGTTTTTACATATAAATACAGAATTAGCATTATTGCATTAGAATAATGTCAAAACTAAGGTTAGGAGGTTCTCCACCAGTGTGCAATCGCCATAGCAAGGGTCAGACCACTCCTACCAACCCGCTTATTCCAGTCCGGATATGCAGCCATGCAATGCGCATCATCCGTCACAATAAAAGCGGATTTGCTCCTATCAGTTGGACTAGCTCTGGCAACGACATCATTTATTGCTGTGCGTAATGTAAGCCGGTACTGGTCCAAGGATCGTAGCACAGGTGCAGAACACACCCTGTTAAGTCCTGGCGTCATACACCTGTCAAGTGTGTTGTTGTCTGGGAGTCGAGGTGGGGAGAAAGAAATACCGGCTCCAACTTTATCATATGTGCTTTGCACAATGAACACGGGTGTAGAGACGTATTGGAGGTTGTACTGTGGGAAAAAGCAACGCCAGAGCTCCTTACTGCGCCAGTAAGCTGTTGATGGGCGGAGGGCAATGGTCAAAACAAAGTTAGAGCATGAGGAAAACAATGAAGGAAGTTCAAAACTGGGGAGGGAAGGATTTAATGGAAGAGAGAGAGGGAATGAAGAGAGGAAAAGGGAAAGGAGTGAGATGAAGGATGAACAAGACTGGCCAAGGGTATGTAGTGTGGAGTGGAGTGGACGGCGAGACAATGAAGGAAATGGGGAGCGGTTGCAAGTCCAGTGGCCTGTCCTGAACATACCCGTGCGACAATCATCGTCAGCAGCGGCAGTCATGGAATGGAATCGAAACATTCGCTGCACAATGCCTCGAAAGCTGTACTGCCCGGTGATGTCCAGGGTGTCTGGGGAAAGAATGAGAAAGGAGGGTGGGGGGTGGGAGGGAGGGAGGGAGTGTTAGTGTCGACATTTGCTACACAATATTTTGGAAGCTGTACAGCCTGCTGATATCCTCCTGCCTGCTGATATCCCCCAGCCTGCTGATATCAGCCTGCTGTACAGCTTCCAAGGTGTCAGGGGGAGATATGAGAAAACAAGAGAATCGAAGGGAGGAAACGGAAATGCAGATGCTGGTGATGCAGCACAATCTGATCCACCAAATTGTTTGTTAAAAGAAACACATATTATACTACTTCACAACTTAATACATTTCTAAAATTATGGGTGTACATACCCATGAAGAAGCCAGCGTCCATGAGGCATTTGACTTTGGCGGTACGAGGGAAGTGGAACTGAGCCATGGCATCACACGCCATCGACACCGCTATAGCGCCAGCGGAGCAGCCTGTAAGGAGGACGGAATTCGCTTGCTTCAGACCCTTGTTGTTGAGATCTGAGGGATGGGGAACGTGGAGGGATGAAGGGTGAATATGTCATGTTGTGTGTGTGGTATGTGTGATACTTTATATGTGAGCTACAACACCAGCGGAGAAGCCTGTAAGGAGGACAGAATCCGCTTGCTTCAGACCCTTGTTGTTGAGATCTGGGGGAGGGGAACGGGTGGTGGAGGGGGAAGGATGACGAAGGGTATATAGGCCATGCTGTGTGTGTGATATGTGTGATACTATACATGTGTCATAACCTTAACGGACCAGCCTGTAAGGAGGACGGAATCCGATTGCTTCAGACCCTTGTTGTTGAGATCTGAGGGAAGGGAACGTGGGGTTGGTTGGGGGAGGGGCGGAGGGGGAGGATGGGGGGTGAATAGGGCATGTGGTGTGTTATACGTGTGTTATGTGCGCTATAGCGCCAGCGGAGCAGCTGTAAGGAGGACGGAATTCGCTTGCCGCAGACCCGGACTGTTGAGATCTGAGGGAAGGGAACGGGGGGATGGAGTAGAAAGAGGAATGTTTGGGGAGGGGGGTAGGAGGAGGGTGGGGAAGAGGCTTAGTGTGGAGTGTGGGAGGAAGGAGAGGGTGTGAAACGTGGGTTTGGGGGAAAGGGGAAAGGTGGGGATGGATAGTCCAGGTGGTGTATGAGGTGCTATTGTGGTGAGCTTCGAGGCGCCTGAAAAGTTGTGGGACGTCGCAAAACTCGTCTCGAAACAACAAAAAAACTAAGCGACGTCTCAAAACTCGTATGATATGAGGTGTTTTGGTGGTGGTAGGCTTTGAGCCGCCTGAAAAGGAGGTTGGGGGTGGGTTAGCCATGCGTGTTATGTTTGCTATGGTGGCGAAATCCCTGGTTGATGTATTTGCTTGCTAAAGTGGCCTGCAAATGCAATCCCATGAAACCAACTCCCAATACCGCTGTTACTATTTCTGACCTGCTTTCCAGAGGTCACTCAGATTAATTCTTTGGTATAGGCTGCATCTAAACCGAAACACGCACCTCCCAGAATCGAGTTCAAAATCGGTCGTCCGGAGAGATAGTACGGTTGAGAGTGGTCGTACAGGGCTTTTCCCTTCACCCCGGCGAAAACACCCCCGTCGCAGTACAGCACAACCACCATGTTCCAGGAATAGAAGTAGGGATTTTTCGACGAATCGCCGCTCAGCATGCCCTGAAACCCCGCTCCCATGCTGTCAAGCTGGTTGGGCGAAAGGCGGGGGGGACGAATGAGGGAGGGGATGCATTCGGTAAAGTACACATTGAGAGAGCGGAAAGATGGACCTTTATCGCAATACAGCACGACCATCCTGTTCCAGGAGTTGCACCACGACCCAGATAAATCGCCGCTCAGCATGCCCTGAAACCCCGCCCCCTTGCTGTCAAGCTGGCGGGGAAAAGGGTGGGGGTGGGGAGAGTGGGTGAGGGAAGGCGTGTACATCGAGAGAGGGGAAAAATGCCCCCGTCGCAATACAGCACAACCACCGTGTTCCAGAAGTAAAAGAGCAGAATCTCCGACGAGTCGCCACTCAGCATGCCCTGAAACAGTGAGAAGAGAACTGACTGACTGACTGACTGACTGACCGACCGACCGACCGACTGACTGACTGACTGACTGACTGACTGACCAACCAATTGTTTGACTGACTGACTGACTAACAGACTGACTGACAGAGTGACAGTCAAGTCTGTCAGTCAGACATACAGACAGACTGACTGACTGACTGACTGACTGACTGACTGACTGACTGACTGACTGACTGACTGACTGACTGACTGACTGACTGACTGACTGACTGACTGACTGACTGACTGACTGACTGACTGACTGACTGACTGACTGACTGACGGATTGGCCCGACCGACCGACCGACCGACCGACCGACCGACCGACCGACCGACCGACTGACCGACCGACCGACCGACCAACCGACCGACCGACCGACCAACCGACAGACTGACTGACTGACTGACTGACTGACTTGACCAGCCGTTGGTTGAGCCCAGGTCTGTTTTGGCCCGTAGGTGGCACTGACTTACTGACTGACTGATCGACTGACTGACTGACTCACTCACTGACCGACTGACTCACTGACTGACTGACTTGACTAGCTCACTGACCGACCCACCTGACTGACTCACTTTCTGACTCACTGACTGACTGACTGACCATCTAGTAAACGGCACTCACGTTGCTTTCAAAGCCCGAATCCCCCGGCCTGGGCCAACCCTTGGTCGACCCCAGCTCTGTGTCGGCCCGTAGGCGGCACTGACTGGGGGAGAGGCACCAGCGACCGCCCTGCAGAGGAGTGGGGAGGAGTGGAAAGGGGTGAGGAAGAGTGGGGAGGAGTGGGGAGGAGTGGGAAGGCGTGAAGGAGGAGCCAGGTGTGTGCTAGCCTTTGGTTGAGCCCAGGTCTTTGTCAGCCCGTAGGTTGCACTGACTGGGAGAGAGGCACCAGCGACCACCGTAGAGACGAGGAGTCAGGATATTGGAAGAGTGGGGAGGAGGAGTGGAAGGAGGGAAGGGGAGGAAATGGAGAAATGGGGTGGACGAGGGACCAGAGAAAAGAGCTTGAGTAATAAAATCACTTTTTTTTTCCAGAAACTCTTGCTAATGAAATACTCGTGCGGTTATTCTGCCCGTTCCGTCTGTCTCACGTGATTCAGTCCAGCTTGCTTCAACTCCCCATGAAGTAAAAATGCGCAAATGTATCTTTCCCTCTTTGTGTTTTTCAAATGTTTTTTCCATCCTCGCTTCCACGCCAATAAAGTTGTGTTTTGCAACAAGCCCCCGTCTTTCCCCCCCTTCCCCCCCCCCCGCTCACCTATATAATGACACACGACTCACCATAAGGTATATAAGCCATTTGTTCGCTCCAAGTCCGTACCCAGGCCGGTAGTAATACGCGGGAGGGCTGCGCAGGCGGATAGGGGGGAGACGCGGGCGGATGGGGGAAAGATGCGGGCGGATGGGGGGAAGATGCGGGCGGATAGGGGAAAGATGCGGGCGGATGGGGCGAAGATGCGGGCGCATGGGGGGAGGATGCGGGCAGAATGGGGAGGTGAGACAGACAGCTGGATGCGAGGAAGGGGAGACGGGAGGGGCTGGTGTGCTATCTGTTCGTTCCCCAGCCGTAGGGGGTGAGAATGCGCCAGGTCGGGGGAGGAGGGCAAGGGGGGTTGCGGGCGGATGGGAACACGAAGACAAGAGGGAGTGAGGGAAGGGAGGTGGGGGGTAGGTGAGTCGTGACTCATCTTCTCATTCGCCCATTCTTTTGCTCTGAGTTCGTCGAAAATCCAAGACAGACGAGCTGCTTCAAACATCAATTGATGCAGCCAAGCTCGAACGCAAAGCTTATCCTTGCTGCTTCTGCGTTAATGCTCACTCCGCCGTCCACACCACACACTTCTGCCGCCCACCCAGCCGCCCACTCTGCCGCCCACCAGCCACCCTCTCCGCCACCCTCAAGCCACCCACCTGCCGTCCAGGCAAGTCGCGTTGTTCGCCGTCGTCAGCCGCACGAACTGAATGGGCGGCGGAGCCGCCCGCGGCGCGGGTCGAGTCGGGGTCCCGCTGCGCCTGCCTGTCCGCCTCTTGCTCGAGCCGCTGCTACTCCGCCTACCCGCGGTCCCCGACTGCCTCCCCGCGTTCTCCGGCTGCCTAGTCGCGTTTCCGGACTGCCTCCCCGCGCCGCTGGTTGCGCGTCTGGGGCGACGCGGTGGCGGCGCGGCGCGCTTTGAGCCGGCGGAAGGGGGGGCGCTATTCCTTGTCGTATTAGAAGCGCGGCCTGCTTGCGCCGGATCCCCGCTTTTGCGCGCCCCCGCGCGGCGCGGGGGTGCGGGGACAGTTTCCCGCGCGGGAAGGTCTTTCCGCGCAGGCGGAGACTTCCGCGCGGGCGGAGGCGTTCGCGCAGTGCGGTTGACACTTGCGCCGTCGCGGCTGCTTTTTCTCACTGGCGGGGGAGATCGCTCCCGCCGGTTGTTCCCCCGCCGTGCGACCACGGCTGTGGATTGAGACGCGCCGATATCCGCGGTACTATCAGCTACGTCATCCGCGACAATATCCTGGCCATCGTGTTCGGAAGCATTTGTTTGGATGTTAAAAAACGACTCCGCGTGCTCCATCGCGCTGCTAGTTCCGTTTCGGCGGCCGATGTGGCGCCCGCGAGCATGCGGGAGTCGTCGCCGTTCACCCGCAACTGGCTCGGGCGAAAGCGATTGCGAAAGGGCTAACGAAGATGTTACCGCGGTCGCGTTGTTATGTTCGCTGTCGTACGAGGCGGCGGCGGCAGCGAAGTAGGAGTTGCGGGATTGGCGGTTACTAGAGATGGGATATATGGGAGAGTAGGGATACAAGGGACGGAGGCTAAAGAGGCCGTGGAGAAGCAGGAGAGACAGGAGGAGGGCGGCTCCTGACGGAAAAGCTAACGGGCTTCGACGTCGATTGAGGCGGCGTGGAGGAAACGTAGACGGAGTTTGACGAAGATCGAGGTCGAGAGAATGTGAGAAAATCGGACTGTTTCTAAAATCACGTCTACCGTTGCCGCGACTTCGCTGAATCAACATCGTGTTGTTTCCTGTTTAGCGCTTTTGCGTCCGATCGACGGTCAGAAGGAGACGTACCGAAAGACCTAACTACCTCTACCCCCTCTCGCTCCTGCCTCTGCCCCTTCTTTTTCCCCCTAAGTCCGTCGATCCGGATTAAGCTTCGGCCTGGTAATAAAAAACTCTTTCTTGAATCGAATGTTACAGCAGGGGCACTAATAGATGTCATTAACAACGTAGAACATTCGTTAGATGCTCAATGCGCATGTCTATGGAATAGCCTCAGTTTTTTTTTTCTTCTTTTTTTTTTTTAGAACGCAAGTGCACTATAACAAGGCATATACATTCACAGTCGTAACTGGGAATACCCTCAGATGCTCGCTGAGCATGTCTAGACCGAAATCGTCGCTATATGCTCTGTGAGAGTGTTTAAAGAATGCTCGTTAGTCGCAACATGAACTGCATCTCACGAATAAGGCCCCGACGATGGCATCACAGCACGTCTTGCGGTATTTGGAATCGACGCAAACCCGTCACGAAGCGTGGGCCAAGGCACTGATGGCAATGACATGACATTCCACGCCAACAGTTCGACTTGCAAGTAATTACGCACAGTTGTCAATGCCGATTGCCACATATCGTGCCGTCCTAGCTAACAAGAAAGCCGTCGCCCTAGATAGCTCTTAGCTGCTGACTCACGCCACGACTCGTGACTTACGACGGCACGAGTCAACATGGGAACGCTGCACAGGCTGCTCGTGCGATATGGGTGGTTGAACACTCACGAAACTGTTACGATTTTTTAGGCGCCTCACGGAACAGTGTAGTGGAAGAACAAATTTGTTCTGCGGGGCGCGGATGCGACTCGGAATGAGGGCATTGGGCGCCACGGAAAATTCGCACGAATGAACGACCGACCCATGGAGGGGATGGCATCATGGCAGGGGGGGACTACTCTGCTGCAACGCAGCACAAAATCTGGGTTTCCCTGCCCCCGCATTTCTCTGCTCTGACACTGGGAGTGTCAGCCAATTCCACGCATAGGCGAAGAGCATGTCTTGCGCGGTATAGTATTGTACAGTTTGCCTCGAACTCGCAGAAGGGCTATACAGAGTCTGTTCAATCTTATGAATTATATACAGACTTTCTCTCCATCAATATTGATGCACCACAGTTCAAGTCTGTATGCGCAGCTTATATATCAATCACATGTAACACTCAAAAGAATTACGTTCCACTATATACAACTCAAAATTTACACAAGACACAAAAAAATGAACAAGCAAAACCTAGAGCCATATGTACAACATAATACAAAAAGAACCTATGTGCACCTCTTTCTTTCAAAACCAAAGCCTTTGTGCCTTTGTTGCCGTAATGAGTTGTGGGCACATGCTCAAGGGAAGCGAATGAGCTCAGCCTCCGGTGATGCAGCAGGGATCGAAACTCCCAACCGCTGTGCTACCTGGATGCAAGGCAACAGTACATTGGCAAAACAAGTTAGTGGATATAACCAACACCGATACATCAACACAGTAGCAGACAACGCGGGTGAGTGGTGATAGCAGGAGACATGGAAGCATGAAAGAGGGAAAACAGATTCAATCAGCAAGTCAACGTCGCCCACACACATCACATCATGGCTGGAGTTACTTTGAAAATCCTGAAAAGTGACTCCAAGGCTGCATCATTCACACAATCACATCACAAAGAATCACCCACCCATTCCTTGTTTCCAACCAACTGCATAAATTCGCATCCCTCTTCTGCCGCTACTTCCAGTGCTCACATCAACAATAATCCCTGAGAGGCCACATTATTGGTTACTCTCTATCCACCAAACTCCCTCCATTAAGATCAACAAACCCATCTTCGATTCCACCCACGATGCCCCACACCATTACTCCACACCCTCCCTCTCACCTGTGCAACGGACGGGAGTGCACGTCTTGTGAAGCAGCACAGAAAGAATCCCCTTTTGAGTCGTCTCAAAACACACCATCACTCCACACCCTCCCTCTCACCTCTGCAAAGGACGGAGTGCACTTCTTGCAGAGCGGTAACAAAAGAATCCGCACCATTGGTTTCCCTGAAGTTCTCAAACCCACCTCCATGAAGAAATGAAGTCTCGTTCCAAAGCCACACCGCCCCACACCCGCATGATAAAAGTAGTGTTTTGAGTTGTCTCAAAACACTACTTTTGAGCCACGCCGCACCACACCCGGCCCTCCTCACCCCCCCCATGCCCCACCTCATGCAGCACATCCCACCTCGTTCCACCACCATCAGTCTATGTCCCCTCTCTCACCTCAGTGAACGAATGCACGTCTTTGTTCCAAAGCCAAGCCGCCCCACACCTGGCCGTCCTCGCCCCTGCCACGTCCCACCTCATGCAGCACATCCCACCTCATGCAGCACATCCCAACTCATGCAGCACATCCCACCTCATGCAGCACATCCCACCTCGTTCCACCACCATCGACCCACGTTGCCTCTCTCACGCCGAGATTAACAAATGCACGTCTTCGTTCCAAAGCCACGCTGCCCCACACCCAGACCTCCTCGCCCCCTCCATGCCCCACCTCATGCAGCACAGCACATCCCACCTCGTTCCAATACCATCTGCCCATGCCCCCTTTCTCACCCCTGTGAACGAATGAACGTCTTCGTCCCAACGTCAAGCTGCCCCGCACCCGGCCCTCCTCGCCCCCGCCACGTCCTTATTCAGGCTGCCCCCCACATGCACCGCCTCATGCGGCAACACTCCCAGCAGATCACACGCCCAGCATGCACCACACCACACCACACCACACCACACCACACCACCTCGAAAATCTCTTTCTCCCACCGTCTCTCTCACCTCTGTGAACGAATGCACGTCTTCATTCCAAAGCCACGCTGCCCCGCACCCGGCCCTCCTTGCCCCCCCCACGTCCTTATTCCGGCTGTCCCCCACATGCACCGCCTCATGCAGCAGCACCCCCAGCATGTCACACGCCCAGCATGTCACACGCCCAGCATGTCACACGCCCAGCATGCACCACACCACACAACACCAAACCACCTCGAAAATACCTCTCTCACCTCTGTGAACGAATGCACGTCTTCATTCCAAAGCCACGCTGCCCCGCACCCGGCCCTCCTTGCCCCCGCCACGTCCTTATTCCGGCTGTCCCCCACATGCACCGCCTCATGCGGCAACACCCCCAGCATGTCACACGCCGCATGGAAAATCTCCGAGCTCGGCTTTTCCGCCTCCACTTCTGCCGAAACCGCGACGGCGTCGAACCAATCGTAGCAGTCGAGCGCGCGGAGCAGGTCCCGGAGCCTCGTGTCGAAATTCGACACGAGCGCGATCTTGATCCCGGCGCGACGAATCGCGGCGAAAGCTTCGCGCGCGTTCGGGTCGGTGAATCGCCACGCGTGCTTTTTTATGTAGTAGCCGTGGAGTTCTTGGGCGTAGCTGGGATTGGAGCAGCCAGTTGATTCGGAGATGATGTGATGCCAGAAGGGAAGCGCGTCGCCTTCGTACCTGCCAGGGAGTCAACAGAGTCAATGGAACAGACAAGGAGTCAAGAGAGTCAACGGGGTTAGTAGCCATGGAGTTCTTGGGTGTAGCTAGGATTGGAGCAGCCGGTCGATTCAGAAATGATGTGATGCCAACAAGGTAGAGCGTCGCCTTCATACCTGGCAGATAGTCAATATAGTCAACAAAGCCAGTAAGGAGAGGGCAGAGAGGAGCTGAGCCAAGGCAGTCAAGACAGATGGGGAGTCAACGAAGTCAACGGCGTCAGCAGAACCGTCCAGAACATGTCACCCAGCAGGCTTTTCAGTCGACTCAGAGGAAAAACAGTCAGAAACGAGTAACCATGACACATGCTCGCATGACATGTCTCAATCATTCACAGGAATTTAAGCTACAATGTTATCATTATTGTGCCTACCTGAGCTTCGATTGTAGCCATGGCTTCCTGTAAGCGACTTCGTACCGCCTCCCAATCTCCTCCGGACTAATCTCCACGCCAAATTTCTGCCCGATAGAAGCGTACACCATAGTCTCCTCCTCCGCCGTTTCGACCAACGTTCCAAACGCGTCTACTAGTAGAGCGCGCGGCTCGAGCAACCGCTTCCCGCTGCTGTCTACTAAATGCGCTTCGCCATGGTCTGGCTGCCAGAGGTCCGGCCATTGATGCTGCCGCTGCTGATGTTTTTTCTCCGCAGCTTCCTGCCCGTTCACCTGCCCGTTTGGTTGCCCGTTCAGCTGCCCGTCTCGAAGTTCCACTCTTTCCGCGTCCACTCCTTCCGGCATCTGCCCGACCGCAAATCCCGCCGCGCGCGACGGCAGGAGGAGGTGCCGCGCGTACCAGGGAATCACGGGCGGCACTATTTGCTCGTCAAGCCACTGATTCTCAGCCACATGGCGGGAATCAATTGGCTGCTGGACTGCCGTGGGACGCACTTGCTGGGCCAGCCGCGTACGATGCAATCTTTTTCGGGCAGAAGTAGACAGCTGAGGGCGAGGATCGACGTCGGATGAAACGGCGGATGAAGATGCGCCCGTTGAGTCGTTATCTGATGGGAGTAGTATCGTCGCCCGTGTTTGCAGATGCGAAAACGACGAACGACGTGGAGAGCAACGATTTTCGGCGACAAAATCCCGCACAGCTGTGGAAAAAGCGGCGGGTTTGGAGGCGTGCGACGACGAAAGGCAGCTGAAAGGAGAATTCTTGAATGCGAGGGACCGGTGACTGCTACTAGTAGTAATACTACACACAATATGCGTTTTTTTAGAACTCTCAGAAGAACGGTGATTGCTAGTAGTAGGTGGTACTGCTATGGAGGGGCGGGATAGTCCAAGAGGAGCTTCTAGCAAGTGTAAAGACGGCATTCTGAGAATAATTAGTTATCGAGGCGCGAGGACAAGTAAATGGTCGAATTAGCTTTTGCTGTACAGTAAGAAGAGCTGGGTTAACACTCAGAAGTGCAACTTGAAAGGAACAAGCTAATGAAGATAAGCGTAGGTTTCTCTGTGAAAGGAACTGTGGTATTGCCACAGTTTAGCCGCATGAAGGTCTGGTCCTTGTAGCAGCGGCTATGGTAACTGATAGGTAAGTTGGGATGGGCTGGCACAAGAAACGGATGGCTGACAGAAGCACACAGACTCGCAAAATCGTGGCATTTGAATACCTCAAGAAACCGTTTGAATTACTTTATTAATCGCTGTAAAACGTAAAGAACCTTTAATAAGCCGTATTTGTGCGAAACTTCATGGGGCACACTTCAGCAGGAGTGTTACTGTGGATGGTGCTGGCACTCCTGATTGACGGGGAAAGTTCCGCTTCATGGGTGGTGGAGCGGAATGGAGGAAAGAAAGGGATGGGACATGCGGTTCGATATCTCCGAGATTTCACCATATGAGGTGCCAGGTGAATTTGCACCATATGCCAGTCTTTCAACGTAGGAACACGTCATGCTCTGCTGGATCCAGATATTCGATGGGTGTAAACAGCCACGATTGAGTCAGCTGTAGTGTAAATGACGTGCTTCTGTGGAAAGCTTCGCTACAAAGCTACACAGAGAGACGCTATCGGGAGAGTGTCGACAGTGTTCTCGTGCATTTTCGTCTTATGGAGGAGTGTTTTTCTGCGTGCATTTTAGGTTTCCTCCTGAGCATGCGGGGAAAGTCTGACTAGGCTATCGTGCACAAACCACCTCACCACATTTACACAACAGTGATGCCCAACCAGGCACGTACAACCAATCACGTTCATAGACAAACCCACCCGGAATCGGCAACAGAACTTTGATTGTCGAATGGCTGCACTTGCGGCGGCTGCACCGAATTGGTCTGCGCGTGAGCTGCTTGCCTGGCACAGTTGGCTGGTTCTCCCTGAGGCAAAAACAACCAACGAGGGAACCGTCAACAGTGCCTTCAGCTGACAGTGGGTGGCTCAGGTGTCGCTCGTGCTGACCTGGATGACATCCTGCGGAAGGGTTTCAGTTCTGTGTTGTAACCGAAGGACCAACCAACGCAGATTCACCAACAGCACACTAATTCGGGATCACGCTTCAGCGGTAAACATCACCAGTGGCGAATTAAGTGTCTGTCGCAACCCCAATTGTCCCGCATATCCCTAAGTGATACGTTTAGATGAGAGACCTCCTCCCATCACAGCTGCCAATCTGGCAAGATCCAGACCCGAGCTCGCCGTTTCAGTTGTTGTGGTCCTCCCCCCCCCCCCCCCCACCCCATACAGTAAGTCTTGTCGCGTGTTGTGCCACACCAGCAAGCCTCAACTGTCGCCGACATCCTCCCGCCGCTGGCTGGTCAGCTCTATCCACATAAGCGGACTGTTCGCGTGGAATGTTGAGTATTGATTGGCTGTTGAAACCGTCAAATGCACCTGGCGTAAAATTGATGACTAGGTCCTGACGAGCCCTCCACCCAAAAGTGCTGACGCGTGGATACAACGACGATCAGGCGAGCAATGCGGAGCGATCCGACTGGGCTGACTCGCTCACGTCCTTCGAGAGCGGCTCGGGAGAGCCAGACATTACAGTACAGTATTCATCGCATTCGCAAACAGCATATGCCTTCCTGGTTCCCGAAGCGCCTTGAACAAATTGGTCGCACAAGGTTTCCCACCTTCCACTCCCACACAAATGACCGGACTGCAAGATACAAAAACCTAGCTCGCACACGACCAAAAGCCGTTCATATCGTCAATTATCGCTTACCCCCACGCCATCATCAATTTTCTTTCACCTTCCCTTGCATTGCGAGAGAGCGTAACTCAGTCAAGCAACATCGTCCTGTCTTCGCCTTCTCATCATCTGTCTGTCTTTTGCCAAAAGCCAAACACAACTGGCTGTCTTGCAGGTTCTATTCGTATCCTGATCAGGGAATCCAGCTCAAACCTTTCTACAATCCACACGCTAACTTGTCACAGCCATGGCAGGAGTCGTGGCTCACAAACTCCTTCCACTTGTCGCGTCGCAAATAGCCCAGGCTGCTGCCTCCTGTGGCGCCCTTCGCTCCGCCTCCAATCTCCTACTTTCTCGAAACGCGTCGAACAAGCACTCATCACAGCCTAACCAAGTCGAGAGTCAGACCAAAGGTAGTAGCCCCATCGCTACAAGCAACTTTGATACAAACATCTCCGATACAAGCAACATCGATGCTAGCAACGTCTCGGCTATCACCATGCAGGCTCCTCCTGCCGGCCCGCATCAGCTGTTAATTCAGGAGCTCGCGATTCGACCGCAGCCGCGTTTACCACTATCGCCTACGCCTCGCATGATTGGCGACCCTCCCGACGTGCTCCCGTTTCAAGAAGACGCGTTTAATCCGCACCAACGCTTCTGGCTACTAAGCCACGATTCTCCGCCTCCGGCGGAAGCGGATTATCCAGTCCCGACTCGGAGTCTTCCCGCTGTTTCTCAAGGCGCCGCCGCAGTAACTCCGTCGGCTCTTTCCATCCCGTGCTGGTCCGTGCACTTTAAGGAACACCAACAGCAGCAGCAGCAGCAGCAGGTCGATCCGCAGCCGCTGGGGCAGCCGCAAGGCGGGTTTTGCGCGGCTGCTTTGCCCGAAGGGCCGCACCAGCCGATGTGGCCCAAAGAATGGCTCTGTCAGCGTAAGCCGAATACCTTCCAGCCGCGTGCGCTGCTCGTCGACGCGATGGGGACTCTTATCGAGACATCGGAGCAAGAGCATAAGGTGTACGAGACCGTGGGTCAGAAGTACGGCGTCTCGTTATCAGCAGAAGAGATTTTGCGGCGGTATCGCATGGCGTACAGTAAACCGTGGCGCGGGGCGCTTCGATACGAAGGAGAGGCTTTGCCGTTCTGGCATCATGTTATATCGGAGTCAACTGGTTGTTCGAATCCCAGCTACGCGGAGGAGTTGCACGGTTACTATGCAACACCGTCAGCGTGGCGGTTGTCTGATCCCCACGCTCACGAAGCCTTCGCTGCTATTCGCCGGGCGGGAATCAAAGTCGCCGTGGTTTCGAACTTCGACTCGCGGCTCCGGTCTGTTCTCCAGTCGCTGGGCTGCTTGAATTTTTTTGACGCGGTTGCGGTTTCAGCAGAAGTGCGGGCAGAAAAGCCGTGTGGCAAAATTTTCCACGCGGCATGCGACATGCTCGATGTGCGGCCCGACGAAGTTGTCCACGTGGGCGACAGCTGGAAGAACGACATTGGCGGAGCGAAAGTGGCTGGGTGCGGAGGCGCGCTGCTATGGAAAAAGGACGTCAACTCCTTCGCAGATGTGGCAGCGCGATTGGGTGTAAAAGTGCCACTTTCGCTTTCCAGACCGTCTCCGATGCAGCCTCGAGTTAGCGCTCACGCTGCATTAGCTTGAAGGCTGACTCCTATTTCGCTCCTTATAACCGCATACATGTCCTTCCTTTCTGCATTCGGAATCTCAACTCAGCTGTCCTGACAGTTACATGACTGTTCAGGCTTTAGGAGCCCTCCTTCTGACCCCTCCTCAGCAGCTCCGGCTTAGGACAGCAGTGTCCGTGCCTGTTGCCATGGGGTGTGTGCACTGCTGGCCGCAGCACTAATTTCTTCCAAGCCTAGTCTGCCACACAAGAATCGATACACGGCGACATAGTCGTTGAGTGGGCTGGTTGCTCCAGCACACAAACCGTTGTGGTTTTTTAGTAGGTTAAATGATGCTCCATGTACCAGCATTGTAAGTGGTCAATCAACTAAAAACTTTGGAAAACAAGCTGCTCACACACACGCCTCAGGCTGAGAGTGAAGAAGCCTGGTCAACTGTGCAGTAACAATGGCTGTGGAATGGTCATGGGTCAAGAGCAAAGCCTTGCCACGTACGGTCAGCAGACACATTTGACACAACAGCTACACAACCCACTTCTTGAAAGGCGACACAAACAGGGGTTTCAGTCAGGGCCTCAGATATCAGGAAAAAAACCCTGAAATTCCTGATTTTGGCAGCCCTTTTTTTACCTACACTGAAAAATCAGCGTTGAGATTTTTGTGGGACTGATCTTTCAGCCTTTTTTGTTAGGCCACACTGAAATTTCAGACTTTCGTTTCCCAAGTACACTGATTCTACGGCGTTGTAACGAAACTAACACTGAAAGCAATTCTTACTTGTTCCGTGTGCATTTGCCCGCAAAACAGGGAATCTCATATTCCTGCGGTGCCAGCACTTCATTGGGCAGTAACGCTGTAGCATGAAGTGATAGCTAATCAGGATGTGGCAACCATGTTGTGCTGGAGGGCTGCGAGGGTTCCTGCACCAGCAAGCACTGATGCTCCCATTCCCTCCAACCCAATCTCTTGTTTCTTTTCCTCCTGTTTCTCTCCCTCTCCCTCTCAGCCCGATTCCTCTCTTGCTTTCTCGTCTGCACTAATTCATGGCGCCATCAGCACCAGAAAGGGCGGGCTGTCGGGAATCGAACCCATCGCAAGCGCCGCCGAATCTCCTCTTGTCTCACCGAACACATCGCTCTCGTTCGACGCGATCCGCAGTGCATTCTGCTAGATGGTCGTAGACCACGTGGCAATTCCCGTCGGCGTCGCAGGCCCGCTACGACTCGACGACGCGTAGTTTTTCGTGCTAATGGCGGCAACCGAAGGCTGCCTCGTCGCCAGCACGAACCGCGGTTGAAAAGGCCATCTGCACCGCGTGCGGTGCGCAGATCGTCGTGCTGCGCGACGACATGATCCGCGCATGACCCGCGCGCCCGCCGTCCATTCCTCTGCTCCCTTTGCCCCGCACTCCGTGCACTCCATCTCTCCCCCAGTCGTCTCCCCCCCAACTGTGCCAATCTTCCCCCCTCTCTCCCTCCTGTTCTCTCTTTCCCTGCCTCACCCTGCCTGTCAATCCGGTTCCTCCTCCACACCCTGCCCCTGCAGCTTCAACGTGTATGTGTGTGCTGCGGCAGAGCACTGTCACGTACTGGTGTCCCAAGCTGAGGAGAGGAGAGAAGCCAAAAGCAGTGACGATAACACGGCTGCTACTGACTTAGTATTTGAAGTAGAGGTTTCTAGTAATTAACAACCTTTTATATTTTTGAACACTGATACATCAGCCTTTTTTCAAAGGGAACCCTGATATTTCAGGTTTTTTTTTTTAGAAACACTGTCAATCAGGGTTTATACACAAGGGTACCCTGATGGGTCGACGACCCTAAAAGTGAA